AAAATTGAGTGAATAACCAATTCATCCCACTGCGTTTGCGACATCACTCACCCATTTCAGGGAGGTTATCCAAAAAGTGTTTATTAGGAAAAATATGTATTGTTTCCTTTTTCAATATTTTACCATTCACCAAATTCTTTGCGTGTTGCAATAATCAAACAAAAGATTGTATTCTAAACAAAATTTTCAAGAACATTTCTTGCAATACATTATCAGTATGATTAGGAATAAATTTCTCAATATTGTCAACCGAAGAAATTAATATAGCATATAATGTTTTATTTGAATGACAATATTGGGATGTTATTCCAAAATATAACGATGTTTTCTTCTACCATTCAACATTTGCAAGAGGTGGAAACAACAACACCAAAAACAACACCATTATGTGAGACAGATTGCAAGAACTGAAAAATGATTTGTTAAAGGTTGGTGTTATAATAACAATAACATATAATCAAATGATTTTTCTATCTTGCAATCCATCCTAAAGAATGACATCTACGAGTATGGAGGGATGTATATATGACTTAGGTTTAAGGTAAAACTTAGTGAACAGATCCATTTTATAGTTAGATATGGGTATCATATCTCTCGGTTATTAGGGAAACCTATTGAATATATTATTTAGTAAGAAAATAAAAACTAAGATAAAAAGAAAGTCGTCTTTTTTAAAGAAATAAAACAATAACTGTAGTTGTTGGATTCAAAGCATGTACTATGAATTATTTTACCCCATCAATTATGAACTATAACTGAGGAAATATATGTTATTTTCTTTTTTAACAAACTCTAACTTAATTTATCAATTCATATATATTTATTTAGGATCAATAAGATGTTTCCATGCTTGAGGTTAACTTTGGGCTTTTTCATAAAAATTAGGTATCTTTAAATGACCCATTAACCAAATTGATCCAGTTTTTACAATGCATACCATTTTTATAAAAAAAACGAACCCGACAAATCTAAGCCCAAAACGAATACCATTTTACATTAGGTTTTATTAACCAGTTCCATATTTTCCCCATCTTCTCTACCTTTCGGCTGAGCGGCCTCTAGTTGAAATTCATACTTTCATCATATCTTACATTCATGTAAAAATTGATGAAGATTTTGTAGATTAATTGAAAATGGCATATATATGAAAGATTTATTTTCAAGATCTAGCTTCCTAGATTCTATAAATTTAATTTTTGCTTATCTCGTGCTTGCGATTTAGTGTTGTAGCATCAAATATCGATTTCAACACTTGCTTTTGTGAATTTTATTAAATGATATTATTATCAATAGTGGTGTCGCTTGTGTTAGCAGTCACAACTAGATAGATGTTTAGTATAATTACTTTGTTGAGTTATTAAGAGTCTGGTATTAAGATTTAGGTTCTCATCCTACCGTCATAACTACAACAGCAAGAAAAACAAAGGATCTAATGGCTCAATTAAATCTTTCCAGCAATTTTTATAAAACCCGATATATGTGGTGGAGACCAGATCGAAGATCACCAGGTACGCACCTGCCTATTTCTTCACAAATTACTTTTCTTCTTTTGTGTTTATTAGAATTATGTATGTTACTGCTTAATTTTGCAAATATTGTTCTTTGTGACATATCTATTACTATTAAGTAGGGAACAAAATAAAACAAACTTTGGTTGAATTTTTATGAATGCACATTGAAATTATTAAAATGATTGTGTCTTTTATGTCTTTTACCATTGTTCATTGAAATTATTGTGCCCTAATTATATTGGATTTGTTAGGGGAAATTCTGGGGGTCAAGACGAGAGAACATTTTTAACTTTGGGGCAATTCCTTTAGGAGCAACACACCTTTGCGTGTGAGACATGATATACTCACCCAAAATTAAGGGCCCCTTTTAAGTATAATGCATAGACTTGGAAAAATTCTCACTCAAAATGGAATTAGCAGAACCAAATATAATATCATTAACATATATTTGAACTACCAATATATCATTTTTGAAAGATTTACAGAACAGAGTAGTGTCAACATTCCTTCTGTTGAAGTCATTTTTTAAAAGAAAAGTGCTTAGTCTCTCATACCAAGCCCTTTGAGCTTGTCTTATACCATACATGAATTTTTTGAGTTTGAAAATAAAATCAGGATTTTTATTGTCTTCAAAACTAGGAGGTTGGTGCACATAAACTTCCTCAATTATGTAACCATTCAAAAACGTACTTTTAACATCCATATGATATAGGATGATGATGTGATTAATAACAAATGAAATTAAAAGACGAATAGATTCTAACTTGGAAACTGGTGCAAAGGTTTCTGTATAGTCTATTCCTTCTTGTTGACTATATCCTTGTGCAACCAGTCGAGCCTTGTTTCTTACCACTTCACCTTTTTCATTTAGCTTGTTCCAAAAAACCCATTTGGTTCCAATCACATGAGTTCTTTGGGTCTTGGTACTAGATCCCAAACATCATTGATTGCGAATTGCCTGAGTTCTTCTTCCATGTCTTAAATCCAGGATTGATCAAGAAGATCTTCACCGGTAGAGACATGTTCTATCATTGAAACTAGACTTAGAAGCATTCCTTATGGAGGCTTGAAGTGAGATCTGGTTTGAACATGTTATGTCTTATCTCCTAGAATTTGTTCCTCAGAATGCAATAGACTTTGTCTTAGAATTTTTGGAGGAGTCTGGACATTAGAGACTTTTGGTTGATCATTTTCTGGCTCTTTCACTTCTTGAACTTCAGCAGCGGTTCCTTCAGATTCTGAGTAGGTGAATTCCATATCAGCAAGCTTATCAACTAGCTTTGGCTTTTTAAAGTCAAGTTTATCATCAAATCTAACATGAATTGATTCCTCAACAATAAGTGTTTCAATATTATATATCCTGTAGCCTTTTGAGCGTTTAGAATATCCTAACATGATACAACTCTGAGCTTTTGAATCAAACTTATTTAGGCTTTCTTTAGTGTTTAGAATAAAACAAGAACATCCAAACAGATGAAAATAAGAAATGTTGGATTTCTTGTTCTTCCATAATTCATAGGGAGTCATTCCAAGAATAGGTCTGATGGAGTCTCTGTTCTGGATATAACATGTTGTGTTTACATCTTTTGCCCAGAAGTACTTTGCCATGTTGGTTTCATTGATCATGGTCCTAGCTAATTATGTTAGATTTGTTAGGGTAATTTTGTGGGTCAAGACGAGAGAACATTTTTAACTTTGGGGAAATTCCTTTAGGAGAAACACACATTTGTGTGAGAGACACAACACACTCACCCAAAACCTTATCCACAATGCTCCCCCTCAAGTTGAACCTCTTTTTCCATATACACTTGTACCGTCGTTGACACTTTTCAAGTGGGTATCTTCACGAGGGTCAAGACGATAAAGCATTTTTAACTTTGGGGCAATTTCTTTAGGAGCAACACCTTTTTGTGAGAGAGACACTACATACTCGCCTAAAACCTTAAGACTATGTTTGGATTGATGGAACACAACGAAGCAGAGCGGAATGGAACATAGCGGAGTGGAACATAACGAAACAAAATAGAATATAAATCTCACTCCATTGATGGTTATTTTAATTAAAATGTCTCATTTCGTCCCTTACACCCCAAATTGGATGAAACAAAAAATGGGGAATCAGATGGAATAGGATGTAATGCATTCCATCATGCTCCGCTCCATTTCATCCTCTTTTTACCAATCCAAATAATGAAATATAATATTATTTCATTCCGCTCTGCTCCGTTCTGTTGTGTTCCATCAATCCAAACATAACCTAAGATGATAAGTGTATGGGTTCTCCCACTTATAAATGCTAAAATTTTCAAATTCATAATCAATGTGAAACTTCTCTATACTACTCACACTTATAATTTTTTTTCAAGATGATTATGTTAAACTCAAAAGTGCACACAATAAATATTGGTGTTAATTTTGTTCAATTTGGTTGTCTACAAATCTCGAAAAACATAAAATTGGGGAAGTTTTATGTTTCTTTTCTAAATAAGACTTTGCTATGACAAATTGATATATTGTATTAAATTATAGTTCAATGCTATGGTGTACTTGAGTAAATGTAAGATGGTGCCTTATTGAAAAAGTAAGTTATAAATATTTTAATAAATTTTATATCCCTTATGAAGATATATGAATTTTAATATACATTCAACAAAACTATATATATTTATCAAGTGACATCACTTGTGTGAAAATTTGACGAAATCTCTTAATCAGTCATGAGTATTGTGCATGCTCTAATAGTATAAAAATACGTTTAAAAAAATTACAGGTGTGTATAGTGTGATTGTTAGGCCTCCACCAACATAATAACTTGCTCACGTGTTCATTATGCGTATAGTCTTATCAATCTATATCAAATTTATTCATTACGTGTTTAGTCTTATCAATCTAGATCAAATTTATTAATTTCTCAAACACGTTCGACAAATTATATATATAATATCAAATCTGTTAGAATAATATAACAAGTGTTAGTAAGTTGTAAAATAATTCGATATTGAATATAAATATGAAGACTTAAATATATATAAGTGGGAGAATTCACTCATCAATTACCTTAAAGTTTTAAGTGGATAAATTATATGTCTTTCTATGTGTTTTAACTGTCAAACACATCTTTGAATTATCAGACTTACTTGTATTTAGACATTACTCATGCCTTGTCTTTTTTAATGCATGCATTCCTTGGCCTTTAAAATAAACAATCAAGATTTAAATATCACAAGAAAACCAAGACCGTCCGATGTAAACAGTTTAGTTCTGTGAAGTTGAAAAACTTTATGACCTCTGTCTGAAGCTGTTACGCTTATTACTCTCTTGGCGCTTCATTCTCAATTTCAATCATTTTCTACTTTATCGCTCTCAGCTTCACCATTTTCTCTTCACTCTCCATTGTCATCATATTCACAAAAACCAAAATCACAAATCGATTTATCAAAAAAATAAAAATCTCACCAATTTTCTCTGTTCCCATAAACCCTAACAGAGATGGCGTTTGAAGGAAACCCTGATAATGATGGTGGCCGCACCAACTTATCAAATCTTGCACCCGTGGCACCCGAACTATCCGGCGAAGGTTTACCTTATGCGCCAGAAAATTTTCCGAATCCCGGCGACATTTGGCGGTGGAAGACCGGCAAGAGGATTTCATCTAACGGTAACTTTCGGGACCGGTATCTGTATCTTCCTCGGCGTCTTGCTGGCGGTGGATTTAAAAGCAAGCTTGCGGTTGAACGCTACGTCAAAGAATTCTTCCCTGACGCTAATGTTGTTGATTTCTTCGCTTCTTTCAGCTGGAGCATTCCCTCTGGTCTTCCTGGTAACTCTCTTTCCTTTGCTCTCTTCCGATCATGTGATTCAGAAATTTGAGGGGTTTTTCATGATACTCTAAATTTTATCATGTGATTCTGAAATTGAAGGGGCTTTTGAATGATGAATTTTCTTCTTACTTGTTGAAAAACTTTTCTGTACCTTTACATAACATGCAAGGTTGTTCTGCTGCATTGTAGGCAATACGAATCCTGTTGCTGTAGCTGATGGACTTCTTCATCAGTTAGAATTAAAAGAGCAGCCAGAATCTGATTCCGGCACTGGTGGATGCAAAGCCGGGAATAAGACCTGCAGCAGTTTGATTTTGGACAAAGAAAAAGAAAATTCAACAGTCGCACCGTGTGATATCTGCTGCGTTGAACCAAAATTTTGCCGTGAGTGTTGCTGCATTCTTTGTTACAAAACTGTTGATTCAGCTTATGGCGGGTATAGTTATGTCATGTGCAATGTAAAACTAGGCGATAATATTTGCGGCCATGTTTGTCATTTGGAATGCGCTCTTCGAGTGTATTCGGCTGGCACTGTTGGAGGAACAATTGGATTGGATGTTGAGTATTTTTGTTGGCGCTGTGATGGGAGGACTGAACTGATTTCTCATGCAACTAAGCTTCTACAAACATGTGAAGCTATTGATAAGGATGATGTTGATATCAAGGAAAAAATTCTAAAGCTTGGCATTTGTCTCTTGCGCGGTTCAGAGAAAAATGCTGCAAAGGAGCTTATGAGCCGTATTACATTGGCCATATCAAAGGTATTGTTAGAAAAAATGTCTTTCTTTCTTTTCCTCTATTAAATCTTAAAAGACAACAATATCATGTTGAATTTGGTCTTTTCAGCTTAAACATGATGGAACTAATACTGAAGATATCTTGAATGGTGATGACCATCTTACAGCTAATTCTTCAGGTAAATGTTCTATTAATATGACTTATCTACTTTTGCACCGGATGTATGCCTTATTGATGACAAGTGTTAAACATTTGTATACCACCAGGTTCTTCCGGTAACGGCAATGCTGCGATGGCTACAGACGACAAAGGTTCTTTAAAGCATTTAGATGTTCAAAAAGGGACAGAATCTTTTCGTTATCAATCCGAGTTATTAAAACTTGATGCTGAGTTTGATAAGGCTATGTTGGATCTTGAAAAATCTCAAAAGTATGAATATAAGCTGGCAGAGGAAGGCCTTCATGCGCATAAGGAATATTTATTAAATATTTCTCAGCAGCTTGACAATGAGAAGTCCGAGTTAGCAATTGGATCCAACACATCTTGTTCAAGTGTCATGCTTCAAACTGTCGAGAAAAGAAATGAGCAGCTAAGGCAGGAACTGAAGAAATTTGAAGAAATGAAGAAGGTAGCTAATGGTTTTGGAAGCACATCCAAGGAAATTTTAGAAAACCACTTTGGCTTATAAATTGCATTCTAAAATGAGTAGGAACTTGTTCTACAAAACAGCCTGAATTTGTTTATTTTAGTTGCAGTGGAATATCTTTTGAGACTCAAGTTCACCATTTATGCAACCAAGTCTCTATCTGATAGCCTATTTGTAATAGGCTAAATTATGTCTGGTCTTTTATGTTAGCCTAAAATTTTGGATTGATGTTTATTTCACCCAAAATATTCTTTAAGTCGACAAACTTAAATACTGGTGTGGCCCGATGATCTATCTGTGATGGGTGGAAATGGTGGGTTTGGTTGAAAATAATATGGTGATTGTTCTGATGAGGCATGAATGGAGGTGACCATGCAAGGTCCGAGAGTACTAAAACAACACAATAAAAATTGAGTTTTATTTATTTATTTAGTGTCATTAGACTTGATTGAAGATGCAAAAAAACAAGTAACATTTCAACTACCAAAGTTCATTAATGTGTTTTGGAGATCCTTAGCAAGCAAGGGAATCATTACAAAATTATTACATTGAGAAGATGTTAGAGTTAACATGAGTCAAAATTTATAAATAGGCGGAGAATATATGAATAAGATTCTTTATGTATATGCACAGTATCAGTTTAGTATATGTTATAGATATTATTCATATTGTTACTCAAGTTCTCTGGCAAAGATAAACATAAACTTATAGGCACTTTTAAAATATATTTATGTTTGTCTGCATAAATCTAAATATGGTTGGTGTCTTGATTAAAAAAAAATATATTTTTGTAATGTTGTATAATTCAGTGGGAAAAAAATTTATAAAGAAACTTTTCATAAAAGTGTCGAATGAAAATTTAATTTTAATATTTATTATTAAAATGTTATTTTAGTAATTCATCATTTTATTATTGGTTTTTTTTAGATATCAAAATTTTATAAAATCACTTAATTTTAAACTATTTTAAATAAATTTTTATAAAAATCATTTTTGAAATATAATTTTTTTAAAAATTGAGATTTTGACTAAGTTTTAATTTTCAATAATGTATATTTATATTATATGATATCAAAGTTAGTGTTTCAATTTAGAAAAAATAAATATAAAAAAATTTGTAGTATTTTAAAAAACAATTTTATAAAATTTATTTTTATAAATATAAAGAAAAAATCTATTTTTTTAAAGTTGAAACAAAGAGTACTGGTATCTTACCAATTAAGATTACAAATTTGTTGATTTGTCTATAGAAGTAGATATAATGCATCAAATGAGCGTTTGAGCAAGAGAAGTTTACATTATGCAAAAGTTAGAGTGCTATCTATTTCAATAAAAATTCAACAGATAAAAATTGAATGGTTATTTATTAAAATTTGTGTTTATGATATTTAGCGTCTATATTAAACAATATAATAGAAAATAGATTTAAGTGGTTTGAGCATCTTGAGAGAAGATTGGTAGATTTTGTTCAGGAAAGTATATCAAATAAAGAGAAGATAAATAATTAGAGGAAGAGAAAGACCTAATAAGACTATAAAAAAGTATTAAGAAAGATTTTGAAATTAAAGATTCCAACACATTTGATTTGTATTTGGGATGTTACACGACATCCAATACATCTTATTTGAGTCAAGTACTTGTATAATAAGGTATTTATTATATATCCTCACATACTCACCCAAGAATTTATGGTATCATCACAACATAATCACTAATAAACATTCAACAATAGCTTTGTAACTCGTGACATTTAGTCTCATGAATTTCAACTTAATAGCATAATCAAAAGAGTATGACAATCAACTCAAAATAACTTAAAACTCTCAACAACACAAAAAGTTTGTAACTTCGACAACAATAACACAAATAAAAGCAAGCGTTTATCCCAACTCGATGTTACATGATCAGAGCAAGGAACCACTAATAAAAGCGATAACATAGACATATCAAGTATTATCATCCACGCAACATAACATTCAGGAAATCACCAAATACAACACAAATGCAATGCATCCAACAACTGACTCAACATGCATGTGGTACCAAATTATGAACGCATAGGTTTATTTCACTCAATGATTCTCACCATAAGATTGATTCCCTATTAGAACCGGACCAAATCGCTACCATCTCTATTGGTAACGCTTCACTAATCATCCGCAATAGGAATTAACTACTCACACTCAAACCATCACCATAGGATCGAGGCCCATCATAAAGAAGTTCCGAAAAGATGAATGCATGAACTCTCAATCATGCAACAATAACACATATACATTGTCCTTCCTTCTGACTAAGTATACTACCAACAACATTATAATAATAAAAAAGCATGCTTAAATTTGAACACACAACACCATTATCACACAATGTTATCACCACAATACAAACATACATCAATCGAACATATAAATCAAATAAAATTACGGTACAGTAGATACATGGATAATGTTCAAACATTTCACCAACCACTACCATGTTATAACTCTGATTATTAAATTTCTAACGTTTCGAACGACACTTCATTTGGACATACAGATCAAATGGTATGATCAAAACACTAAATAGATCAAAACGTTCACTAGAGAAATCGATTTGCACCCTAGATCAATCGATTGATTGATGCTACTATTACACAATTTTTCAAAAAAAAGAAGAAGAGTGAACCAATCAATTTGCACCCTGGGTGAATCGATTGATCCTGCACATTTTTCCAAAAATTTCAATTTTTCAATGTTATAGGATTTTCACCCAAATCTCATCTTCAATCCCTAATCCAGTTCCAATTTTATTCAAAATCATCTATATAAGTTGTCTAACAATAACAACACATATATCATGGTAATTAACATCAATCTATCAATTTTTCTAATGATTTAACTACTTAGATTTATGCCCTAATTCATCCAATATTCTATTAATTTTCATGTCACTTGTTTTCAAGGACACAACAACAACATATCATCAGATACAATTTCAATTCATATCATGGCATAAGAAAGCAAAAGTATCATCATAGTTGCATAAATAATTCATCATAACACAAAAGAGATTAAACCTTAATCCACCCTTCCATCCATACCTCTATTATTGAATCCAATTTCCACCCTTACCTTAGATTATCTCTAGGAATTGCTTCTTCTCTCACTATGGATGGATGCTCCATTGATTCTTCTGTACCCTAACCCTTTTCTCTATTTTTCTCTTTTCTAGTATCAGTAGACCCTTACTAAGCTTTTTCTCATATGCCCTCACTTATTCTCATGCAATTATCTCAACGCCCTTAAAATCTCTACATATTCTAATTTATTTTATTTTCTTATTATTTTAATTACTAACAACAATAACTCATTATTTAATTAATCTATTTTATTTTCTAACTCGAGGACCTACACTCCCACTAAATATTCTAATAAACACAATAAATCATAAATATTCATAAACAAATACATAACCAACACAATTCCAAGTTTGGGTGTTATAGGAGAGTTATGTGGTCTTCCTCCTTGTCTCATTCGTTTATCATGTTGATTTATTAAGTCATGTTCATTGAACAAATGAAAATCATACTAGTCTAGTCTGATCACCTTATAATAAGTTATAATAAATCATAGATGATCTAAGCAATACGCTGGTATTCTTCCGATATTTCTTTGGATGATTTATGGTATTCACTCATCCCTAATAAGTTTTATATTGCTTCCTCTAAGCCCTCGTTTTTTAACCTTGATAAACTTATGCTAGTACATGAACCAATACAATTATATTAATATAAGTATGTTTCAAAAATCTCTCTATGGAGGTCATTTAAAATAAATCATGTATGATTCTTTTGTTTGGTGGATTTTTTTAAAGCAGTTACTTGCATGGTTAACTGAATGTGAACTTGTAAGTTCCGAGGTTGAAGAAGGAAAAAAAAAGTTATGACAACTATTTAAAGTCGGTTAGTTTTGCATTTAAAAAAATTGTTTTTTAAAAAAATAGTTTTTATAATTTTTTAAATAGTAAAAAAATTAAATTTATTTTAATAAATGAAAAAAATAATTTTGACATTTGATCACTTAAAGATATATTTAAAAAATAATTTTTATAAAAAATTATTCAAAATATAATCAAATTTAAGTGATTTTTTAAAAATGTTAATATTTAAAAAATATATATAATAGAAGAATAAAATAAACTTAAGTGTAACTTTGGTCTTCTTATTATGCATTTTTTTGGATTTTTATCCTCTATTTTAAAAATTGGTTTTGATAATCTTTCTATTTTATATTTTAGAGGATTTTAGTCCCTCAAATCTGGAAGCATTCGATGTCATGATAGTGAATTTTGTTGGTTTGGAAATGCTAAGAGAGAAATATGCTGTTATTTTAGTCCCCTATAAAATCTGAAAGTATTTTGTAGAGTGTCGAATAGTATCGACACATCTGTTAATTTACTACAGATAAAATGTGTGTATATGTTGTCATATTATGGTTTTGCACATGGTATAATAAGAAGGATCTGAAACCACTGCCATGTCATTATAATCCATGTCATATCATAAAAAAATGCTTCTAAATCTGAAGGAAATTAAACATCCACATCCATTATACCCGTTTGAGTTCTTTAAATACACCCACTCAATTTTTTATATGATTTCATATTTTCAATTATTTAAACAACTTTTCTTGTTTTACAGCATTACACCGATCAAAATGCATATCAAGGACGTTTATTCTTCCTTCTCCCAAACCGGAGTCGGCTGCCTCATACCCGCCGACAACATGCACACCGACGCCGACGCGTTTGCTTCGTCTGGAAGTGGAACTGAGTACGACTCTTGCGTGATACAGAAGCGTCAAGATTTAGTGAATCTTTTGTTATCATCTGCTGTTGGTGTAGTTTTTAATAGATCTTATAGTTTTGTGTTTTCTCTATTTGGTTGTTTATTTTTGTATTCATTGCTAACTATTGCAATGTCTTGAATAATATTGTTGAAAATTTTTGTGCTGCTATGCTGCAGCAACGAGGAGAGCAGAGAGAGAAAGAGGCTCTTGAGA